GTGAATAAGGTGCTGACTTCCATCAGCCAATCATTTCCAAGCATAAAATCAATTTTCCTTGCACGTGATTGGGTGTTTTTTTTTTTTAAAGTGAATGTTCACCACAATTACTAAGCTAAGGGGAAAATTCAATGTACAAACTGAACATTCTCTACTTCTTTTGTAAATCAACCCCATAGCGTTGGCTCTGCAGTGTCTCCAAGATCTTACTTTCTCCTCAAATAAAGACAACTGAATACTAGTGATGATCATGGGCTTGGTGCAAAACCAGTTCACACAAGCCTGTGCAAGACTGTGACTGACAAACCTCCCTCCTGGGCCAGTCAGTTTCATCGGGGGCATACCCCTCCCTGTGGTGGGGAATCCTACTGCCCCAACCGATTGGGCTGGGAGTGCGGGTGTCCGTTACAGTTTTGCTGGGCTTGGGGGTACTCAAGCAAACTGGGCTTGCACTCAGCCTTCTCAAATCATTACTGAATACACTTTCTGAGACTAGTTGGTTTATCTATTGCAGGGTTAGGCAACCTCGGCACTCCAGCTGTACTACAAACCCCATCGCAAGACTGACAGCCACAGGCGTGGTGGAATTTGTAGCTTTACCAGCTGGAGGACCGAGTTTCCCTTATCCTGATCTACTGTATCTACCTCCAAACACCAGCAATTACCTTCTTCTATCTCAATCTCTTGTTATCTCTTTCACATGTTACACTGTTTCTCATCACTTTACACTACGTCTTGTGGTGGGGGCTGGAGTGTGTAAATTTTGGAAAGGAAGAACAAGACAAAAATAAAAGAATAAGGAAATAAATAATATAGAGAAGGTAGAAAGAAACGAGAGTACGTGGTCGGCAAAGTCAAGGAATAAGGAATGGAATAAAGGAGAAGAGATAGTATAGCAATGAGGAGTAAGGTTAAAAGAGAACTATGTGGTCGCTTTTTTATCCCATAGTTCTCTTTAGGGTCACGGGAGGACATATACTAGCGTCCTCACGTGACCCAAAGCTCAGTCTATAGCGGGCTATAGCTCGCTATTTACTGATAGAGCCGCAGCCGGGAGGGATAACGTCAATACCGTCGAGATCCACCCAGCTGGGTGATTGACAGTGGTGCCTATCTAGAGGCAGAGCAAGCTGTGTCCCACGTCCATCGGTTCCTATACTCAGTGCTGGAGGATCGGAGCGGGGAGGGGAGGAATCCCTGCGGGGAGCGGTGACTAACAGTCCCGGCTCTCTGCAGGGAGATGATCGGGAAGTGATCAAGCAACAGTATGTGTTCGCTCACTTCCTGATCAATAGAGCCGACGTGTGACAGCTTCAATGTCACCAGTCGACTCTTAACTATGAGGATGAGCGGATATCACTCACCTCAAAGTTCTCCTTTAAGTGTTTGTCAAATAGTTTTTCTACAATAATCCTATTTCAAAGTTGGCTTTAGAAGCCATTCAGATGTTTTGGGAGTAAAGAGTTCCAAGTTCTTTCGAAGTGCACTGATGACTGCTCTGTGACATTTGGAAAACACTTAAAAGAGAACTACGGGGTAAGTGTTTTTCACCAAAGTTCTCCTAAGGGTCACGGGAGGACATATCCTAGCGTCCTCCATTGACCCAAATCTCAGTATATAGGGAGCTACAACTCGCGGTATACTGAGACCGCCGCAGCCGCGACGGATCCCGACATTACTGTCGTGATCCACCCAGCTGTGTGAGTGACAGCTGGCTCTGCCTATCTAGAGCTGTACCCTCCCCCGTCCGTTACCGCCAGTCAGCGCTGGAGGATCGGAGAGGGAAGGAGGAATCCCTGCGGGGAGCGGTGACTGGCAGTCACCGCTCTCTGCAGGGAGATGATCGGGAAGTGAGCAAGCAGTGGTGTGTGTTCGCTCACTTCCTGATCAATAGTGCCGACCTGTTACAGCTTTAATGTCACCCGTCGACTCTAACTATGAGGATGAGCGGAAATCACTCACCTCACAGTTCTCCTTTAAGTGTTTGTCAAATAGTTTTTCTACAATAATCCTATTTCAAAGTTGGCTTTAGAAGCCATTCAGATGTTTTGGGAGTAAAGAGTTCCAAGTTCTTTCGATGTGGACTGATGACTGCTCTGTGACATTTGGAAAACACTTAAGGGGAACAAAGGAAATGTTCTGTCACATTGCCAGCTGTTTAGTAAAGCTCCTTAAGACATTACACTTCTCTCTGTGATCTCAACCCATCCTTTTCTGTGATGTCATTGGCAAAACCTTTGTGTTTACTGTTGTATGGAGTGCTGCAACTCTGCAGCTAATTGTTTCTCCAATTACTAGCTCACCATGCCTTGTTCTCTGTGTGGAGGTTACCATCTTGGTAGAGCCATGGCTTTGCTTCCCCATGCTAGGGTTGCGACCCCCCCCCCCCCCCCCCCCT